GCGCTGGAAAGCTGATACGATATTTACACGTGTCCTACTTCTTGCCTTATCGTTCCGCAGACGTTTTCCTCTTTTGTTTTTTATCCGCCATCTCTATCTTTCTGTCGCTCGGCTCGGCTAATGTCCGTCCCATGCACTGAACGCGCTCTCCTCCACATCATGAGTAGACACGCCCCTTATTGCTGATTGGCTACAAGTTTGTTTTGCGATTCGGCCCGAATCAGTTTTTAAAGCGTTTTTGAAAAATCACTTACTCTGCCTTTAAGTTAAGTTAGTATTATAACTTTAATGTTACAACATCTTTATTGAATATATTTTAAGTGTTTGTATACAACTCAGCAAATTTCAACCTTCCATATTATTGACTCTCAGGTATATTTTACAGCATTGAGAGATTTTTTTTTTCATTACCTGATATATATCCAAAATAATCTATATTGAATCGAAATCGAATCGCAAGCTTGTGAAGGATAATCGAATCGAATTGTGAAACGTGTGTCAAAACCCAGCGCTAGTGTGTAGCATGTGTAACTGCTGAAATGGCAGTGCTTAACTTTGTTCTTAAAGGTTTTATCAGAATATTTCAGCTGTGCTGTACCTTGCTCAGAGTCAGTGTAGATGGTGGAGCCCATGCTGTCAGTGCGAATGCGCTCTAAGCCCTGTACAGAGAGCTGCTCCAGGCGTCGTTTGAGGTAGCGATGTTCTCTCTGCAGTTGCTCCTTCATGTTTAGAGCCTTCTTGTCCTGTTCCTCCAGCTTCTGCAGAGCACATGTTTCCACAGATCAAACCACAGAGACGCCACACCGCATGACATGCATCATCTACCAGTCGGTGTGAGCATGCACAATTTTGTGAGCTGAAAAAGCGAAACAATCACATTAACAGAAAGACAGATCTATGCTGCATGACAGGAAACCCGGCAGGTCGAGCTGAAACATTGTAACAAACAGGAAAGAATCAAAAGGGTCAGCAGACTTGTCTTGTCTCTGTGTCACACTCGCACTGACTGTTTGTTGAACACTTTCAGTTCCGCTGAGGCGTACGCTCTTCTTCATTAGGCAGAGATAAATGAATCAGTGTCTTATAAAAGTGTCCGTGATAAAGAAAAGGAAAAGTACTCTAGTTCTTAGAAAAGTACTATTTAAAGAAAGATGTCTCAAGATGTCATGAAAACATGTTACTGTACATAACTTACTCAGTATTTTTAAAAAGATCTTGGGATAGTTCACCATAAATATGAAAGTTCTGTCATCATTTGCTCACCCTCCAATTATTCCAAACCTGAATGAGTTTCTTTCTTCTGCTGAACACAAGAGAAGATATTTTAACTCAGTTGTGGTTGCAACAAAGTGGTTGCCGAGCAACAGACAAACGTAAACAAAGGTGTATGTTACTTTGTAGAGTTTGGAACAACTTGAGGGCGAGTAAATGATGACAGAACGTTCTCTGTTGTTGTTTTTTTTTGGTGAGCTATCCCTTTAATATACACTGCTGTTCAAAAGTTTGGGATCAGTAAGATTTTTAATGTGTCTTCTGCTCATTAAGGCTGCATTTATTTGATCAAAAATACAGAAAAAAATATTATTGCAATATTATTATAACGTTTTTCTATTTTAATATACTTTAAAATATAATTTATTCCTGTGATGCAAAGCTGAATTTTCAGCATCAGTCGTCAGTGTCACATGATCCTTCAGAAATCATTCTTAAATGCTGATTTATTATCAGTGTTGGAAACAGATGTGCTTCTTAAAAAAGAATTTTGGAAACTGAGATACTTTTTTCAGGATTCTTTGATGAATAAAAAGTTCAAAAGAACAGCATTTATTCAAAATAGAAATCCTTTCTAACAATATAAGTCTTTACTATCACTTTTTATGAATTTAACACATCCTTGCTGAATAAAAGCATTAATTTATTTCAAAAAAGAAAGAAAACTAAATTTACTGAACCCAAACTTTTGAGCGGTAGTGCATGTTGTTACAAAATATTTCTATTTTAAGTAAATGCTAATTAAATTAAAGTTAAGCCTAAAACAGAAAAATAATCATATTTCACAATATCACTGTTTTTTCTGTATTTTTGATCCAATAAAGGCAGCCTTGATGAGCAGAAGAGACTTCAACATTAACATTACAAATCTTACTGATCCCAAACTTTTGAACGATTTTTTGAAGTTGTTTTTATTTACTTCTACAGTTGTTTTTAGGGAGAAGCACTACATATTACCACCTAAACTCAGCTCGCCTTATCATAAAAAGCTCAAATTATCTTATATTTTAAGAGACATCTCTATGACATAATTTTCTGTTTAGCTTTTATCCCTTCTTGTTAATGCATGTTGGTTGAACCACATGACTTTTTTTTTTTTTTTTGGTCGCACTACATAATTTGGCAGATGAGTTGTTTTTAAATACTAGTAAGCTTCTTTTCCAGAATTTCATTTTTCTTCATACCACCCAAAAATATTAATATGAATCCTAATTCAGAAAATGCTGCAATGACTCACATACGTAACATAAACACACATTTCGATGACAGAAAGACTATAATTTTAAGCTGGAGTAAATCAGCATCTGAACTGTGGGTCATCTGAGAGTGACATAAAGTCCCTGATGAACTTCCCCTCCGACTGTCACTGCTTTGAGCTGCTCTAACCACTTTACTGCTGTGCAAACAGAGATACTGTCAGAAAGATGCTGATTTGTTCGTACCTTGATGTGCATTTTGGCTCGTTTGAGCAGGCTCAGTGTGGTGTGACGGGTGCTATCAGGACCCAAAGGCACAAGCTGTTTCAACTGCTCCAGGTACAATCGCAGTTTGGCACGTCTGCAAATAAAGAACAGGTTGGAGTGAAGTATTAGCCTGGGATAAATTTAGATCTTAGAGACTGATGTGGGCTGCCAACACAAAGCTTGCAGGTTTGATGCGGTGCAGTCGTGACTAAGAAACTAGATTAATGAGACTGTGCATGTAAGAGGACTGTTCCTGTGATTATAAAAAATGTTTATGCCTTTTTTCACTATTTCAGCTTTAGTTAGTGTGTAATGTTGCTATTTGAGCACAAAAACTACACTTTTTTTCAAGAACGACAGCAAACGGCTCGTTCGGACTACAGCACGCTTCTTCTGCATGTTGTGAAGTCACAACGTCACTAATTTAAATAATCTCCGCCCACGGGTGTGGTCTGGTTGAGCTGCGCTACAGAAGACTGAGAAGAAGAAGAGCGTGTTGTCCTCGTTTCGATAAGATGCGGTTTCTTCCACCCCCCGGTTCCAAAAGCCCTTTATTTGTGTTTGCAGACGTTCTGCACAAAACGAATGAATCGGGCAAAACTGACGCCATCGTTAATATTCACAGATGAAACACACGTTTATGGCAAGGGGCGTGTCCTTTCCGGAACACAACAATCACAGCGCACTGGGCCAGCTAACCAATCAGAGCACAGTTTGTGTTTCAGGAGGAGGGGCTTCATCGAAACAGGAACTAAACAGAGCGTTCGAGACAGCTGCTACAAAAATAACAACAATCAAGCATGAAAACCTATTGTAGTACACCCCAAAAACCAAATCAAGACTGTTGCACGAACACCCTGTGTTTTTGCATTGAAGAATGTGTCCTATGTGAAATGATACACATTCCCCCTAAGAATGTGTCTGAGCTTCAGACAGTCCACTAACTAATCCATTATCAAAATACACAGCTTTGCACATCCATGTGTAGACTTTCATGTTAATACCTTTTTTGAAAGTGTATAATATCACTGTATTAAAACAGTCTTCCACTGACAAGTTGTTGCTAAACTTATGACATGCTTTATGCTGAACAAACCAATATAACCCAAGCTATTGCACGTTTTCTTATACCTCAAGCTCCTGCAACTCTAGAAAGGGAGGAAGCAGAAGAAAAGGAAAGAGCAGACATGAAGAAAGAGTGTGGAGCGCCTCATTTGTGTAACAGACTGAGCAGAAAGAAAGCATGTGACATCAGCACCACATCATGAGCCCTAAAACACTCCCTGAAGCCCAAACTCAATTTTTCAAACCTTTACAAAGTTAGGGCAGCACACCACAACAGTACATCTAAAAATTCAAGTCCTGATAATCAGAGACGATTATGTCCTGCCAATAATGCAATGGATGATTACAAGCTTTTTATATATATATACTGCACACAGAAAGCAGACAACGTAATGGAATGCTCCAAGCACAGTATCATCACTGTAGCTTTCAAAACCGCATTTTACTGTGGGACTCGGATGCCTTTCTCTGTCTCACTTGACAAGGAAAACACTTATTAAAACATGCACTTGGTAAAGCAGCACTGCGGTCAGTGCTCAGTGAGGTTCTCTTTCATGCAGGAACATACTGGAATTATTATGTGCATAATTTCTTTGAAATTCATGATGGGTGCCAACAATTGAGGAAGGGCAGTGTAACTTGGAAGATACTTTATACTTTTGATAACCCAGAATACACAGCAAAGGCAGAACAAAACAAATCTGGCTTAAAACATGAAAGGTTAAATATGTCCAAGTGGCCCTATACAGATCTCAATCCAACTGAACATCTGTATAATAAAACTGCTGTTCACAAAACAATCCCCATGCAACTTGATAAAGCTTGAGAATTTTTGCCAAAAATTGGAGAAGCAAGATCTCTTTGTGAGTCATCAAAAGACACTGATAGCAGTAACTCCTGCCAAAGGTGATTCTAACACGCATTTGCTTGAGTGGCAAATGTTGTTATTGAATGCTTGACATAAAAAGCCAAAAGCACCAGAAAGAAAAAAAAATCCTAACACAGTGGATATGACTGGAGATCATCTCTGCATGGGAGCCTCTGAAATGGGTTTCCATCTGGTATAAAGATGTTTTTATTAGAGGTCGACCGATTGATCAGTTTTGCCGATTAATCGGCACCGATAGTTGATTGCCGGAACTATCGGCTGGATGATTGTGTATCTTTCTGATGCTCTAATAGTCTGTGTGCTTCATATAAAGAGATGTAATATAGACATCGTTTCTCTTTCTGTTTTGATCTGTTTTTTCAAACAAACATATTTTATTATTTTGAAAATTATTCTAAAATGAATGCATATTACTAATCAAAAATTAAGTTTTGATATATTTACAGTAGGACATTTACAAAATATCTTCATGGAACATGATCTTTACTTAATATCCTAATGATTTTTGTCATAAAAGAAAAATCAATAATTTTGACCCATACAATGTATTGTTGGCTATTGCTACAAATATACCCCAGCGACTTAACACTGCTTTTGTGCTGCAGGGTCACATATAGTGTGAGAGTATACATACAATATACATATTGTATGTAATTTGCTTAAATATCTTTAAGCATGACTGTTTGGACTTTTATGAAATGGTATTTACAATAAGATTCCAGTAATGTTCATTGTTAGAGTGTATTGATTAAAAAAATAATAATAATACATTTTTAAATTTTAAAGTTGCATCTGTTATCATTAGTTAATGAACTATGAACTAACATTAATGATCAATGTATAATTAATATTTTAATTGAGTGTGTGTGTGTGTGTGTGTGTGTGAGTGAGTGAGAGAGAGAGAGTGTGTGTGTGTGTGTGTGTGTGAGTGAGAGAGAGA